TATATATATATATATATATATATATATATATATATATATATATTTAACGTATTTTAAATTTAATGTAAACATGAAAGTTGCAACTTAATATAAAAATGCAATAATGTTTATTTGAATTAAATAATATAATTTCATCTAGGATTGTTAGTTCAGAAGATATGACCTTTAATATATAGCCCAAAAACCTTACGATCTGTGGTGGAAAAAATTTGGGCAGGGCTGCGACCTGAATGTGTTAATATATGGCAATTTTATGCAATATCGCATTTACTTAGAAATTTCATAGCATGTGCTTCAAATTTGACAACTTTCCTCCTTTTGTGGAAACTTATGAAGATTTTGAAGAACTTCAAGCTCTGAAAATTCCCGCGCTGCTCTAACATTTCTACAGGGTATTAATTACTGAATCTCCCCGTCTAGTTTGCTCGTGAATTGTATTCGCGATAATGGTACGTAGATTTGCCATACAAGGGAGCGACTGAAAGGTAAAGTGTAATTGAACTTTGCCAGGAGTAGGCAAATTGACCTAGGTTCCTTGTTGATTTATTGTAGTTGAAAGTAATTTCGAATAGTTTTAGAAAAAGAACTTTATTGAAATTACCTTTCTTAGACCTTTTATAAGATTGATTATTCAGTTTTTCCGGGCAGGTGAACTACTTCGGTTATTACTTCCGTAAGTGTAGTGCACTTTTTCACGGTAGATGACTGTATACCTCCGCTTGATTGCGGTATCCGGTGCTGGACTACACGATTTGTGGGTTTTCCACATCCGGGTATCTCACCATCGGAGCACCGCTTGCCCATGTGTTTAAGCCCCAACGTGTTCCCCGTATGTGTGGTATTGCCTGGAAGTGTAAGTAAATGGCGCGGATAGGACAAGGAAAATGAAGGAAACATTTCACACGGTTCATAGCCCATTTGTTAGGGGTCTGCTCCGGCATTCTTCCAATGTTGATCGGAAAAAGAATTGACAACTATCTGTCGAGAGCAGCCGACCGCCACAGTTCTCCACACAGCTAGCTACTATTGAGAATTCTGCAAACGATGGGATTAATTCTCGGATCTCTCGGTCAGAGGCACTGCAGCAACACCAAGTTACGCCCCGAGACATCAGCCGGTCTAGAGACTATATTGTCTTATTTCATGTATATGAATAACCTTGATTAAGCTGCCGTCAATTGAAGGCCAACTTGCTTCATGACCGTGTAAGTAAAGCTTCATTGCAATTTGGTAAGTGTTGAATTATTATTGCGCAAAGTAGTTCAAGACTAGAACAGCCACATACGACATGGTGTCCTAAAGGAAAAGCTTTTATAAGGGAGATAACGATCATACTGGGTTCTTACCTCTGCCTAGTGCATGTCGGAAGACCGGGGGAGCGTCAGGGACGAAGTAGGTGGCAGGTACTTCCGCCACCACCTTGTGCCCTTCCAGTCCGAGAAGGCGTCGCCGGGCCTCGTAGACATTCGCTGCGAAACCCGTGAGAGTCCTTTTAGAACGCATTAATGAAATAGGATTTTCGCTGAAAATCATTTGAATAGTTTAAAATTTAATAAATACTTTAGGCAAGAGCTGATTAAAAATCGAACTTTTAGTGAAAAAAAATATAATACATTGCAAAACAACTCAATGAGGTTGTACGTGTTCACTTACTCTACATTCAATGAAGATTGAACATATCATTTAGGATTAGCGATCTCCTCTGAGCAATAGTTTCAATCCATGTTCCACCCTCTCCAACTAACTTTTGTAGACTCTTTGATGAAAGATTTTATGGTCTTTTGTACTGCTTCCAATAATGTTTCATTTTAAAACTCTGAATTAATAGAATATCGATAATTGTTTGACTTTTCGTAGTGAATCTTGTATGGTGGCATTCCGTGCTTTTATTAATCAATGTCACTCAAATAAAAAGATCTTTGAAGGTTAAAGGTCAGGAAACGCGGCGTCAGTGATACTTTTTGCAACTGAAGGTGTAACTGATCACTTACGCGCAATTCCCGCCACTGAGACAATAAGCAGACGCGCGGGACGGTGAGAACATTCCACAGCGTCTCAATGAAGCGAACCTCGAATAGACAGCAGGGAGTAATGTAGAAGAAGTGAGTTCTTTCAAAATATTAATTTCAATAAAAAGCCATAAAATTATTAGAATAAATTATTTTGTGAAAATAAAATATGTAATACAGTACTAAATATGCGAAAATTAGTGACGAAAGATTTTAATATTTCTTAGGACGGCGACATTACAATCTCGCCAAGATTACAACTTTTAGAACGGTAAGTAGAAAGACAAGAATATGAAATATACAAATCCGGTCTCTAGTGATAAGAACTTAGAGATAGCAGACTTACTACTGACTAACGTTTTCACTTCTATGAAGTCCTCGGCTTATACAGAGAACTATAGGAAATACACTTTATATTTGAGCCTTACATGTGCAAAACTTGCAGAAAAGTAAATTGTAGGGAACGCTTTTACTTGAATCGAATGTATTCCGAATTTTCCAAAACTGAAATATTTAATTTTCAAATTTGTAATTCTCTCAAAAGAAAGGTTGTATCCATGAATGATCCTCTAGAACAATTCAATTTCATCGTTAAAAAAATATTAACACTGGTATCTAGATTCCCGCAGTTTTACGTTTCTTTTTACGGATTCCAGACTGTTCAAACGCAGAGATATTAGATCTTTAAAAATATTTTCAACTTGCGATGGCGGAAAAACGCGAAATATTCTAATTTCAAAATCCCTTAAAACTAACTCTAAAAATATTGATTTAAAAACGAAGATTTAAGTTTTGCTTAGCGAAATCTGAGAAGAGAATTCAAAATTGTTACAACAAAAATTTTGTGAATGCATTATGTTAACTAATAAAAATGTTCACTTTGAAGTTGTAATGGATGAAATAAAGAAACTCCTTACCATATATATGAAAGTGACAATCGAATCAAAATTTTAGGTTTATAAAACGTGCTAGAGTCCCCGTTAGGAATTTTGAATTACCTACCTCTTGTCCGTAAATTTGCCTCTGCCTTCATTCATAGCTTTTATTGACTTTAGAGCCTTGACTGTAGATTAAAGCAAAGACCGACCAACGGTTTCTTATCTACTTACACGCATCTCTTTCAATGCCTTTGATTGAAACTGCGAAAGTTTTTTGCTTTTCCTTCTGACGAAAGCTTATTTGCACGTCAAGATCATACATGATCTCTGCCACGCTGTTAAAATCTACAGTTGTGTTGTCAGAAATCTCGAACAATAACAGTATGGGAAGAGAACCCTGAAAAATAACATTAGTTCAGAAAAAATTAAGTCAATTTAAAGTTTTGCATTTTTGGAAAAAAGTTCTACTGCATATTGTAATATGTCGTTTTGCATCATATCTACAAAGGCTTTACGTTTATTGAATTTTGTTTCACGTCAATCTATACCATAATGACATTTAAGATGAAACTTTACAAAAACAGGTTCGTGCAAACAAATCTGACGAGCATTTCTGACTCAATATTTTAAATATATTGCATTTGAAATTCACGTTACGATAACAAATTTAGTTAAAGGGAAAATTCTTTAAAATTAAAAATTGGATATTTAAAAGTTAAAAGTTCAAACACACTTACACAAAGGACAAACCGAATTGGAAACGCGTGCAAAAGTTGAATGGTGAGGGGAATAAACATTAAATGTATTCTTCCGACTCGTAATTGTGGTAATTTTTTTAACCGATGCAATATAGAACCAGATGAATACCACAACCACTAAATTAAACATGTATTATCAGATTGTTGTAAGATCACGATTTAAATCATAAATATAAATTCGGTTACGTTTTGCATTAGTACTATGGACTAAAGTTCACTTAAAATGAAGTGAGGTTTACATTCGAAAAAAAATGTTTAGAAAAATTTGGGAGTCAAACAGAATTAAGTGTCAAATGTTTACTATAGGTAAAGTAACTCAACACTTTCTAAAAAAGTTGAAAAAACATAACTAAATATCAAACTTATTATAAATTATAATTAACTGTTGCTAAAAATATTAAATAAGTTTGCAAATGGTCATCTTACCAGTAGCATCTGCCGTGCCAAATACACGTTCCTGATGGGGCCGAGCACAGTGATTATGTTCTTTTTTATCTGAGGAATGTAGGGATCGTTTAGATCTGGAACCATGATCTGCGTCGATGTGTGGTTCATGATCGTCTTTATGTTGCAACAGTTGATTCCCAGCACCAACGGTTGATGATGAGGGGGTATCTCCAGCGTCGTATATACTGAGACTTGGTCCTATACGAAACGGCACTATATTATTTTCCAAGATTTATTTCGTTTAATTTATATTTTTATTTGTTTATTTTGGTGTTGAAAGAAGGAAAATCTTAAATTTATGAATGGTGGCTAGAAGTGGAGGAAAAAGATTAATGAATTGTGGAAACATTACATTCGTTAATGGTAAGGTACTTTTCTGAAATAGGAAATAGGGAATTAAGGAAATTTAAATTATTATTGGGCCCAAGAATTTCAACGTTAATTAAACCACAAAAAATAATAATGCTGCAAAATTAATTTTAAGTTTTTAAAGGAAACTCGTTAAGATTATGTTAAAAATATATGACGATCAAATATATCAAATATATGCAGCAAATCATCAACAAGTTGACATCGTATTTGTATCAAAATAATTTTCCTTAGAAGCAGACTAAATTTTAGTAGCACACACAGAATAGATTGACAATATTTTAGAACAGTTGCAACATTACAAGCACATTCTGGGTCTTCCTTGTTATCGTCACTCAAGGAGAAGGAATAAATTCAATTCTGGGTGTACATGACTATACAGACAAGAGAAATTGTGTATATATAACCCCGAAATTGGGGTGGAGCTGACTTCCCTACTCATGTCCAAGACAACGTCGTGGCTGACCTTCGGTCTACGCGAGTAACATCATTGAATCTGTTCAATGCAAAAGTTCCATTTTTTCTGAACAAAAATTTCAATTTTAAATTTAAATTCGCCACTTCCATTTGAGCAAGGAAACAATCTCTTTCACAGTCACCCGTTTAAGCTTTCGTTATCCGGTCTCCCAGGGTCGAGAGTCAATTGGTGGACAGGTAAACTATGAGGGACAAGTCGTTACATTATTTCCGAGACTTCAATTTCCATTGAACGCCCCCCGCGACGCAGGCCAGAGGCACTTACTGCAGCGCCCGCGTTGACGCAGAAGTGCCGGATGAGGAAGAGCGTGGCCTCCGTGACGTGCGTGACCTCCAGCTCCGAGCCCTTCACCTGCACCTGCACGCCGTTGAGGCGGTGGCGATGGCGGATGCGCACTTGCACGTTGAACTGCTGCTGCAGCCGCATGACGTAGGGCGAGGCGCACTCCGCGCCCGACGCGGCGTCGCCCAGCGCCGGCACGTCGAACAGGAACACCAGCGGCATCAGGTTCTGCGCCCGCCCGCGCCAGCGCGCGCGCGCCAGCCTCGCCTTACCCAACCGGTCGCGGTTACAAGAACAAGGGCGGTTATATTTAGCTAAACTTATGGGGAGGCGTCGGCGAATATCTCGCAGACATCATTGCGTTCATTTCACAAATGGTGGGTACGTTGAGCTGAGAATCTGATACTTCTACCAGATTACTTACCAGATCACTTTTACCATTTTGTAAGATTGAGAAGGTTTGTATGAAATCAATGTTTTCGTATATCTAGAACGCAGTGCACCAACGTAAATGTTTGAAGTGTTATATTTTAAGAAACTTTATTCAAACAGATTATTCCTTAAGAGGAGTTTAAAACTTTTATACCATGCATTTCGTCCATGTTAAATTTGTCGACGTACTTTTGCAGAAAAAAATAGAAAATGTTGGAATTTCGCACACAAAGTAAAACTTGTTATTTAACAGTTTTTTGTGGTGATTAAAACACTTGTTTTTTAAATTATAACTTTTGTACTAATTTTTCAGTATTTTTAGACAAACGCCATTAGTTTAAGTAGCAATAGTTTATCAAACGAAATTCCTCAAAACTAACCTGTAACTACAGTATGAACAAACATTTCCAAAGTATTATCAGGCGCTTCAGTTTTGAAAGAAAGATAACCATTCGTTAATTCCGAGTCCAATAACCCTGCATTTCCTTTTTTGATTCAAGATACATGCCATCACTACATTCTCACAACAATTTTTTAATTACGAAATTCGTTTAAAATTTCTGACAAGAGCCCTAATGGTTGATACAAAACTTACGAAAAAAATTGAATTGAATTGAAATATTTATTTTTTGCTATTTAAGGTCGCATCTACCTGTAGGTCATTAGCGACCTTTATTGCATTTAACTGTATGATAACTGAAGATGAAATTTTCACATTCCCATTATTAATTTTGAGTTATAGTATTCTCTCTAAAATAAAAAGACATAAATAAACATTAAAATTTAACAAGAAATGATGAAAATTAAAAAAAATCGGTAACAACTTTAAAAACAAAGAAAATATTTAATTTAATAATAATTTTACATTCGTTTAACTTCTAACCTTATCAAAATTTAAAATCAACTTGCTATTTCCGCCACTTTTTGGACCTAACAGTTTACATGTCTATTCATTATTTAAAATGCTTGTTAAGAGACAGTTTAAAGGAACCAAGAAGTTTGCTATACGAAAAAACATCGATTTTTTGAAGCTTAGGTCCAGCTTATATAATAGAGTACTTAAAATTTTTTAAATAAAGTATTAATAGTTTTAATATTGTGAATTATTATTCCTTTTGTATGAATTTTTTGTAGATCTTTTTAAGAATCGATGCATTTAAGGAAGAGAGTATTTATATGAACATGGTTTTGCAGTTGTGGCTGTTAAATGAAACCGTTTAAGCAGTCCGAAAATTTAATATGTATTTCTTAGTTTTAGAAAGAAGGTCACCAAGATGTAACATGTATTTTGTATGGAATGTATGTAGTATTTTGTTCAAGTAATTATTGTAATAAATTTGTTTTATAGCCTGAAGTATCAAATATACCAAATTTGTCGAAACGTCGTGTATTTTAAGATTTAATTAAAAATGTGAATGTGAATCTCAATTTTTCTATAGGCCAACAAAAAAAAGCGGTCGATAAGAGATTAACAATAATGCAGAAAGTCGGCAAAAACAAGAAATGTAAAAATGGAAATATCTTATGAAAACTTAACTAGTCTAGAAGTGATAATATTGTAGAACCAGACCGCCAGGCCAAGTTTAAAGAAATGTATAAGGTTTTAATCGTAATGAACTACTAATATTTTAAATTAGTTATACTCTTCTTCTGCACAAATTCTAACTACCAATAATTTTCGTTAAAGTTTGACTATTCCTCCTGCGCAATGATGTTGATCGAGACCGAAGGCCACGACAGTAGTGTCAGATTCGTAGGCGTAAAGTCTGCCTGCAGGTGGCCAACGTGGCTGCCGCGGTGGTCCGTGGCTCACCCGCACGCGCTGCCGCGCCTGCTCCACGCCCGCCAGCTTCCCCGACAGCGACACCTGCGACGACTTGTCCGTGGTGGAGGTGCGGTTCGAGTCCGGGAAGTGGATGTGCGTGCCGGTCTCCTCCATCACCTGCTTGATGACGAGGCCTCCGCGCCCGATGATGTGCGAGTGATACAGATAGCTCACGTCGATCTTCATCGTGACGCGGACGTCCTGTGGGGGCATCCATGCCGTGAGAGAAAGTCATTCCGCAAATAAACACTTGCAGGCAAGTTGATTGTCAGTTTTGTGGGGTTCATTCGAGTAACTTACAATTCTAACCGTTTTATATATCATTTATTTTTTTTCGAAACGTTGTAATCACCACGTTGTGCAGGTTTTATTTTTTGGTGTTTGAAATATTAAGTACAAAAAATGATATTCATTCAAGATAGCTTATTACTTTACGGCACGATAAAGATAGAATATGAAATTCAAATTTGATATAAGAAATAAATCTTAAATAATATTTTCTGTTATATAATATTTTGGTTGGCGATCTTTGAATTAAACATAATCTTTTGCTTGTATTTGGAATTATTTCGCATTCTTCCCCTCCGCACACGTTACACATTATTTAAAAGACAGTTTTGTATGCTAACGTGTACGATATTTCAAATTTTATATTGTATATTTCTTGAGCGACGGTCAAGCTATAATTTAATAACAATATCTACACCTCACTGTTAATCTCAAGACCTACAAATTTCAATTTGTCGGTCAACCAGACGCCAGCCGTCTGTTACAATACGTAGTCCATAAATACCTTTTTACTAAACAATGAAAATGTGTTTATAATTAAAAATTCCAGCGAGATCATGGAATTATGACTACTTTCACTATTACAGAAATTTTGTGTTAGGCGATATTAAAAGCGTAACAAAAGACTGCCGTTATTAGGCTTTCATTAAACGCAGCTATACTTTTTACGCGTGTGCGATCCATCATTATTTCTGATCGTGTGTCTTTATAGAAAGATTCACGTTAACATTGAAATAATTAAAGAATTTATACCCATTTAATCACTTACTGGCGAGTCCAAAATTGCCATCACTTCTTTCTTCGCTTGGAGCACATCTTCCATGAGACCGGCGATGTGCACATGGGGACCTGCATAAATATATTTTGCATATCATGTATCATAAGATTAAATTTAACATTTTAGGCGTTTGTATGTTAATAATACGCAAATGGATTTTTGTTAAAAAATCAACAATTTAGTGTATCGTTCATTTTTACATTGGAACGTATGGTCTCGTTTGAGACGAATTAGATTTATTTCATATTTGTTTACTCTTATTAAAAGTAACAATTTTAAATATATTTTCCATAATATGTAAGCTACAATTAACGTTTGAAATCTTATGTTTTCTTAAAGCCTTGAGAAAGAATTTAGATTTTGAGGGACAACCCGGTATCTGACTTTACGAATGAAATATTTCCATACGAAGCAATTTACGTTAATAGATTTTTGAACTTCATTTAGCTCAAAACACGGTATAGAGTCCCTCCCCCTCCCAGGTCTAATGTTTTGGAGGTCGAAAGTGACAAAAAACCTATGTTCTTACTTTTGCGAGAGCGAGAGCCAATTTTTAGATGTGAAGGCCACAGAATCCGAGTGCGAGTTTGTTCTTCCAACTGCAAAAAATAGGCAAACAGAATCGGTGATATAGTATTGGACAAATTCATGATCCACTTATTAATCTGTAGACATCTGAAGGAATTACTATTATCTTTTTAAGAAGTTTATTATGTGTGTAATTGCAAATCTAGCGCAAGTATACATTTTAAAAGGGGATAATTAAACCATCAATATTAGTAGAAAACCTTTCCTCGAGTGTTTTCGCATGTTATTATCCCGGTTTTCGCTGCAGCCACAAGAAAAACTCTTGAATGAACCAGTGTCTGAATGGATGCAGAACCCATTTCGCTGAACAAGATTCATTTCACTCCATTTAACAAAACTTGTCAAACTTTAGTTCTTTTTCACACGTTTTAGGGAGATTCAATCAGGAAATGTACACAACTTTCAATTTCTTGAAGTTACCTAAGTTTCATTATAAAGTCTATAATAAAAGCTTACTTTAAAACCATATATACATTAAATTTGATTTTACTTTTAAAAACAGGAAAGTACAGATTTCACGCACACTGGTTCACTTCATTATCCTGGGACCAAATAGGGATGCTTCAAGTTCTTGAGGAGCCGAAACATTCCACTGAAACTCACCCGATCAAAGAACGCTTGGGCAGCCTCCTGGAATTCCGATTCACCTAGAACACCAAAACATTGCACATTATATCTAAATAATTTTTATATATACAAGGTTTAAATAAACCTACCAATCGATGTAATCTATGTAAACAGCGTTTGAAATTTATGGAACTTCAGTGATTAGGTTTAAAGTGCACAAACGAATAATGTAAATAATTATTTAAACACTATATCACATACAATGCCGAATTCAACCTCTGTATGTAACTTACAGAAGTCAGTATAAGATCGTACAGATTATTCTAACATTAAAAAACATTGTGACAATATCTAGTGGCAATTCTGTTTTACAAAATTTAAAACAACTGTCCAAGATGATTTTTTTACTTTGAAAATGTTCAGTTCCAAAATTTTCTCATTTTAGGGTAGCTTAAATATTTTTTGTTTACATAAACGTCAATACTTAAGGCAACCTAAATAACTATTCAACTTCTGAACAAGTGGTCTTAGGCTCATTAAGGTTAAATTAATGTTTAGGGCGCCATACTGACTGAAGGGCACTGCAAAGGGCACGGCGGCGATGATGTAACGGTTAGTGTATCGGATTGTTATACCCAAGTTCGCAGGTTCAAACCCGATTGAAGCCGATTTTTAAGGGCGAGAAAACCACTCGCCTTCCTTCGGAGGGGAAGTAAAGCTGGCTGTCTCATGTTAGTAAATTTACTGCATGTGAAACATCCTCAATCCTAATGGCGCCTCTGAGCTAAATTCAAATCGCCTGTTCGTGGCCCAAGAAGTTCCTCCTTTCTCTGCTAGTGGGTGAAAGGAACGTAGCGAAATTTGCAAGGTCAGACGGAGGAGCCGGCCTGATGGCCTGAGTCGTCACGTGAAATAAGGCATCAACTCAACGAGTTGGAAACCTTCGGAACTTGTCGAAAACCACGACACCAAAGCAATGGCCGCCATAATAAGAGGTTGAATGTTCTCTCTATTGGTCCTTGAATAGCACCCGAATGTTTAATTTTTCAGAACTTCTCTCTGAAATTTTTTTCGATGCATTTCCTCTCCCCTCGCCCCCACTGATGCTTGATGCATCTTCGAACATTTTAGCAAATTTAAAGTATATCGACCATAAAGGTCGCAAAACGCTTAAAAGAAAACCATAATAAAAAGGATAAAATAGATAAAGAGAAAAAACTACCCCAGTAGAACAGCAATGTTGTTGAAAAGCAGGGAATATCATGAAAGGAATTCCAAGACCAATGTAAAATTGCATGTGCCCGTTGAAAAGTAAGATTTCAGAGCACAGAAGTTTGCTGGGAGGCTTAGAAGATCTTAGGATAGAAGGTCTGTTACTGCATCTTATATATTGCTGTTCAGGTGATCCATGCTTCTGCGTGCTCACTCGTGTATAATCTGAATATTTTTTAAGGTACTCGTCCACTTGAATTTTAAAATTTGTATTTATGGCATATATTTGAAAGTAGTAATGATTTCTAATGCAATTAGGAATTAACAAAGTCACAAATATTTCTTAAAAGTATTGTAATTATTTCATCCGATATGCTCTCATCCTTCCCAAAACGGAGTAATTTGAAATTTGAAATTCGTGAACCGTTAAACATTTTTTAAGGACTCCATGTTAAGATTGTTACTTTGATTATACTTGAGTGGAGAAATAAAAGGTGTCATCTCCGACAACTTAATAGGTTATTTAGAGAGCCGACGGCCTTGCCGACATTATCAGTCTACAAATATGAACAAAATAAAATATAAAAAATAAGTAAAAACAAGGTAGGACAATGTGGGGGAATTAATATAAAGAATATATCATTTAAATTAATAAGAATTAACCAATTAAATTACAAAGTAGGAAATGCCAGAGGGATATTAATATAGAGACCAGTAAAAAATGAAGTGACAAATATAAAATGTAAAAGGGGTATTCATATCTGTAATAGATACATTTAAAATTATAATTATTACAGATATAGAAAGTCAAATTACAAAATATTAAATACAAATAAAGAAATACTTATTACTAGTAAAATATGGCGTCACCGACTCTGTGAACTTTTAAAAATGATTTATCGTGCTGAAAATTTCTTTCAGACTTCATTTCTTTCATTACCAGCTTTGTTCAAATATGTTCTTTTAGTATCTAGCATTGGCCTTACCAATGCATCTTAGTAGCTGAAAATGTTATACTCACGTTCGAAAGATTCCAACACCCGATAGCTTTGTATCGTACCTCCATATGGAATATGGACTAGTTAAATTTCAGTACAGCTTTGATGTTACCCTTCTTTGCTAATGTACACATAGCATATTTAAATTAGCACAAATGTTAAATGCAAAAATGCAGATCATTCCTAATGAACTCCGAAAATTCTGTCCATCTTTTACAAACACATTTGATTCTTCCCCAGATTTCCTTAACACTTCCATATTTTTCTCCCCGAATTTCGTACGTACGAGATTAATACTTTACAAACTCGGTCTACTTTTGCATTGCTCTATTAATTGCTTTGTATGCGAATCTAACATAGAAAGGCGAGTGTTTTGTATGTTTATGTGAATAATGTTAGTTAAATTTAATCAGAATACATTGTAGGTCACATTCATTTGAAAATCGGTATTTGCACACTTATTTAAGAACGTAAAATACCTGTATAACATAAGAACATAAGAACGTTAATTCATTCTCTAGCATTACTCAAAGTATTGTTTTCTCTACATTCACTTGAAATTCTTCAAGTTCAATTGGGCAGTACCGTTCGTAGATTTTCGCAAAATTATTTTAAAAAAATATTATTCGAATCAAATCTGCGGCGCGATTCACTTGGTAATTCAATTGTTCACCCTAAGTTGTCAACTTCAGAATTGTTAATGTCGTGAAAGAAAAATGGGGTATTAAGTTAAAAATGCCTTTGGATACTGGTGTTTAACGCCACCTACGTAGATCAATGGAGGAGTTGGTTTAGTTCCCGGCATTATTACTAAGATTACAGCGCCAAAACACGAAAAAATTTTTTTTGGAAGTTTATTTGAATCTTCCATCCGGATCCGAAAACAAATTACCGGTTCCCATCAGGAGACTAAGACGCGTCGAATGACACCTCATACGTCTCGATTGGTGCATGGGAAGCTGTCTAGTCGCGAGTGACGAAATTCCAGACATCCGCTCATCCGCATACGCCCGAGTATTTTTTACTCTAACACTATAGTTTTATTTGATTTATATTTGTAGATTGATAATGAACACGAGGCCTTCGAAAGCTGGCTCTAAATGACCTCGTAAGTTGTCCGAGATATGTTTTATTTCATGTAATTACGTGCCTGAACCTGAATTTGAAGATTCATAAGGAACTTTTAAGTACATCGCAGAGATTTGAATTCGAATTATTAAAAATAACTTTTAGCCATTACAGTAACAGTTATTATTGCTAATTCGCATTGCCTATAACAATTTCAGGCTGAGGCATACGAAATAACTTATCAGGTTATCTTTCAAATTGGAAGAGTTATGTTGTTTTGAGTCGGGCCAAAAAAGAGTACCATAGGGAAAAGCCAGATTACGATTCATTAACTCTAAAATGGTCATCTGTGATGTGAATTTATTTAGCCACACGATAGAATTTTTGAAAAAGGATATATCGCTTTCGATATGACTACATACGAACTTAAGGCTGAAGTTTAGAACACAGTACAACTTAAGGAAGTCGTTTAAACCGGCACTTCGCGCCGCTACGGCGAATTCCACGGCGGAGGGTACAAGGGGGCGATTAGCGAGTTTATGAGGAGAATATTTCACTGGGAAGGGGCAGTGAGCAATGTACGTAACTTAGTGCACTCTTATAATAAGCAAAGGATGGCCAGTTTCGCAGGCAAGACTGTCGCGCGCGCGTGGTAGCCTCCACGGCGAAACCGCCCACGTCGAGGGCGTCGAATCTAAATAAGTTGTAAAAATTACATCACTGAATTATATTTTAATAGTTCGTATTTCGTCACTCGCGACGTCATATACAAGGATTTATTTAACAGTGTACTTGACGTAAGTCAGTTGTTCACGGTTTCATCCAATCGGGAGCTTGAACGTCCCCAGTGACGTCACTAGCGACATTTAAGCTTCCGATTGGATGAAACCGCAACAGCTGATTTAAGTCAAGTGCACGACTAAAATTGTACTATAAGGTAGGGGTGGCAATTTCCCCAGAGTATCTTGTCAGAGCTCTTATCAATAGTGGTGGTGTGCCCCTGCGATTTTGTGTGTCTGAGCAGCTGTCGAAGTCGTTAGCTACGTTGCTGTCATACAATTACATATCTTATGCCCTTCTGGATCTTTGTGTTTGTGTGGGTTGAGAGTTTGTTCTAAGATGGTGCGAATAAATGTGGGTTTTTTACGCGTTGCGCCGAAGGTATGTTTGGCTGTAATTGGGTTGGCGCCAGAACGTGGTTTGATTGCTGGAGGATTTACATGTCATATGTGAATGTCCAATGAGCATGGCCAAACGAAAGGAGTTGTGTGATCCTTTTGTGTGAAGTGCAGTAAGAAAGGGCCACTACTCATGTGTAGGTTACGTGCGGAAGGGGTAATCCGAAACGTTTCGTCGTTCCTCGAGGGCATCTTTACAACGTCGTTATACTACGACACGTGATGGTCACATATCGGTAAGTTTTATTCATTTCTTTCTGGATACTCTGATTCTCATGAAATTTCGTCAGCTGGTAGAACACCATGCAAAACCTTTATATCCAAATTTTGATGCGCTATGGAGTATTAGAAATAGTTTTAGAGGCGGTTGGCAGCAAGACATTTCGTAATCTCCGCGCCTCCCCCAGCGGGCAAACCGTTGCATTATCAGCGCCAGGAACGTTATGCGACGTTTATCAACCGGTGTCGGATTTAAAGTGCGTTCGTTTTTTCAAGGTTGATGGCAAAAGTCATATCCTTTGGTCTCTGAAGTGCAAGGAGACTCGGGTTCTTAATTATTGAACCAAAGTCATTCATAAGTATATCTTAAACCAAAGCTACTTTTAAGGAACTTAAAAAAGAAACTTGCATACGGTGCACTATGACATTTACGTTACACTATATTTTGACATTTTTATTTATTGTGAAACCTTTTTTCTAATCAACAAAAGATTTACTTATAGTACATCGAGGTAGCATTTTCAGGTACCCACATCTTTGCAACAAGTATAATTGGGAGAGTTTAACCTTGCCTCTCTGAACCTGCCACGTAACCTTCAGTTTTTGTCACCGTAAGTGCTACATGCCCTCCAAGGCAATTGACATCCTGGCAATAGAGGGGCCGATAGCGGCGGCGCGGCTACCGAGTAATGCCAGCAGGAGCGGAGGCGGCGATGATTCCAGTGCTTCGACGGGCAGTAGAGTCAAAGATCTTAATACTAATTGTCGCTAAATCGCTACTTGCCACGAACTTCACACACACACACACACACACACACACACACACACACACACTTATATAGCTCCATAGCACTTAATTTGTATATAGGGGTTTTGAAAGGAGCTGAACAAGTTTGTATAATTGCATGCCAATCCCAGTACCCAGCATGGTGACTTGCGTGTTGGAGAAATTAAGGAAGGTTTAAGAAAACTCCCCTTTCTCTCCCTTGCCCTCCTTCTCCCCTTTACCCTCTCCTCCTCTTCCCACCTCAACAACCTCGGCGCCACGCGTTTCTTTGGGCATATCGCATTTTCTAGTTTTACCGACATTGCAATAGTCTAAATTGCATATTTAAAATTTCTCACGAAATCTTAATATTTTGTGATGACCACTAACTGCAAGTAGCCGTGGGACGTGGCATATGCGCGCGCATTCGGAAAATTAAAAATAAGTAAAAAATAAATTTAGAATCAATTTTTTAAGCATTGAAGTTTACATTAGTGCACAACAAAGAATGAAAATAAACAAATTCAATACTTCATGGAAAAACATTTTAAAGTAGAGGAATGCCTTAAGACTGTATGCAAGCTAGGAGTGAGTACTATGAGCGCAAGTTTTCTTGATATTCCATAGAGGGAGGCGGGGGGGGGGGGGAGGAGGGCTATAGCTACATCACGGCTTAAAAGGGCGTACCAACTGTGGACATGAACTTAACTTTCCAAAGCGTGCTACGAGAAATGCTAAGATTGCCTTACAAGCACGAAGTGGTTGTTGCCAGCACCGGAAATTGGTAGTGCCGTTCGGAGAGGAACCAAAGAATCTCCACCTGCCGAGCTATTCAGGGCTGGGTGAGGAATAGGGAGGTCGTGTATCAAGGAAACTCGCGCGAGTAATACAGAAGTTTTGTTTTCATACGTACATTCAGTCCGATTCTACCATCTCCTTTCCCTTTATAGTTCTTTATCTTTGTGTATAGCCAAAAAATAGTCTAATCGCCACTAACTATGATATCACTTGCCAGAGATATGTTGATTGTGAGATTTTATGAACATCAAAACTCAAATATGTTTTCACATGTAAATTTCCATCATGGAAGTATCTTGAAAGTTCCCAATATCACCAATATCACACCCAAAATTGAATTCTCTCTTTGGTGCATTTTATACATTGTTTATTTTGTTATATGACTCCTTTCTCCTATTACGAAAGGAAAATTTGAGTCGGAAGTGTTTCTGTTTTGGCCACAAATTGATGGAAATTGGGGTTTCATGTGCAAGGAAGGCAAGACAATGCAAGGCAAGACGAAGATCGGCCTAACGAATCGCGCACTGGCCTGAAACTAAGAGGAGGACGAAACGCGAGAAAAGCCGATCGGCGACACTGCACGCGCGGACCCACCGGTGATGAGGCCCTCCAGCCGGCGGCGGTCCACGCGCACCCGGTCGGCGAACATGTCGGCGAGCGGCAGGCCCAGCACGGCCGCCGCGTGCTGCAGGAACTCTCCGTCGCGGCT